TGCCATTAGGTCAGAAGTATCAGATGTTAGGTCACGCTGACATCGCGTAATACAATCGCGCAATGAAAACATGGCTTTTTTCCCTAAAATACCTCATTTCTCGGTTTATATAAAACATTCTTAATTTGTACACTCAGCTTGGGACTCCTTGTGTTATAGTGCTATTTCTTGTCGTAAATCTTTCTTTTGGATGTTAAAAAAAGCCCTGTCACTTTTGCCTCAAAGTTGCGTAATATTTCATTGTTTAGTATAAAAATTACTGTGAATGCGCCTGCGACCCGCGTGTAAAGCGTCGTAACCCTGTTTTGCCATGCGTAATGTTAAAATGTACACGCAGACTCACAAAGCCTAGGTCCTTGCGGTCATTTTGCTGGACAAATGTTAAATTTGACGCAATTTAGACCCCGTCACTTTGCGATTGAAAAGGTTAGACAATGATCTCGGCTTCAGCGTTTATCAGGTTTTGGTTTACCGGTTGATGCAGCGTACGACTAAGAAAAAAATGAGAAGGAACAAGGGTATGATTCACATGAGCAATCGTATAGAAATCCTTTCTTTGAAGTCTGTATAAACCGGCAAGTGTTTGCAAGCATTTCTGCAATATAAGGGCCTTTAGCTTTGCTCTAAACGTCTAGAAGCATTCAACTATTTTACTTTATTTATACCATTAAGGCTTGGATATTTTTACTTTATATGAACAACGACTTTATTATGTACAATATACATAGTTCAACAGCGTTCTTGTTCATGTTTGGGATGTACAATTTTGTAAAAGCCTTTCTCTGGTCGACATCGCTTCGAGACAGTCGCCATATGGCATTCAGTAATATATGATATTATGATTACGCAAGTAAAATGACACCAAGTGGCAAGTGCGCTTGCGCAAACTCGTTTGAGCAAATGTCGCTCGCAATAGGCTTATGTTTTGGCATAATTTTTTTTATTAATTTTGTTTAACTCTTTAAAGGCCGTTTTCCACTAGGCGGAATATTCCGCGCGGAGCGGAAGTTCCTATTGTCTTTTCTAATTAGTTCCACCCGAGAAATCACAAGACAAAGAAAAATTCCGCGCGGAAAATTTCCCCTAGTGGAAAACGGTCTTAATAACCACTTTTTATGGTACAACTTGCCACAGTTCCATTGTTCTGGACAGCATTACGATTGAGCCTGCAATCTCATAATGTTATTAAGATGCCGCAATTAACCAATGTATCTGATCGTGTTATTTATTTATTTTTCAGAAACACGAAAAGTGCGTGGGAGTTGGTATTTTGGAAAAATAATTTGAACAATTTGAAAAAGAACCCCACAAAGAACAAAATTTTGCTGCGCAATTTTTTTTATTTAGAACAAAATGATAAGCATAAAAGTTGCATAAGCGTAAAAGCTGCACTTGATCAACTTCAACTAAACTGGGTTCTGTAAGAGCTCGCTTACAAAAATGGGGCAATCATATGCAAAGGAAAAAGAGGAAGCAAAAGCATGCCTTTTTTTAGGACATACTTATAGACTGAACAATCAGTTTCAAACGGCTATTCAATACTATCAGAAAGCCTTGGAAATTGCACAGGAACGTGGAGATAAACAACAGAAGACAGTTGGATACAATGGGTTAGGACATGCATATGGATTGGACAATCAGTGTCAAACGGCCGTCCAATACCATCACAAAGCCTTGGAAATTGCACAAGAATGTGGAGATACAGAACAGGAAACAGTTTCGTACATTGGTTTAGGACATGCATATGGATTGAACAATCGGTTTCAAAAGGCTGTTCAGTGCCATCGCAAAGCCTTGAAGATTGCACAAAAATGTGGAGATAAACAACAGGAAACATTTACGTACAATGGGTTAGGACAAGTTTACAGATTGAACAAACAGTTTCAAACGGCTGTTCAATACTACCAGAAAGCCTTGGAAATTGCCCAAGAACGTAGAGATAAACAACAGGAAACAGTTGCGTACAATGGGTTAGGACATACATATGGATTGAACAAACAGTTTCAAATGGCTATTGCATACTATCAGAAAGCTTTGGAAATTGCACAAGAACGTGGAGATAAACAACAGGAAACAGTTGCGTACAATGTGTTAGGACATGCGTACAGATTGAACAATCAGCTTCAAATAGCTATTCAATACTATCACACAGCCTTGGAAATTGCACAAGAACGTGGAGACAAACAACAAGAAACAGTTGCGTACAATGGGTTAGGAGATGCGTACAGATTGAACAAACAGTTTCAAACAGCCATTCAATACTACCAGAAAGCCTTGGAAATTGCACAAGAATGTGGAGACAAACGACAGGAAACAGTTGCGTACAATATGTTAGGACATGCTTATAGATTGAACAATCAGCTTCAAATGGCTATTCAATACTATCACACAGCCTTGGAAATTGCACAAACATGTGGAGACAAACAACAGGAAACAGTTGCGTACAATGTGTTAGGACATGCATATAGGTTGAACAAACAGTTTCAAACGGCCATTCAATGCTACCAGAAAGCCTTGGAAATTGCACAAGAACGTGGAGACAAACAACAGGAAACAGTTGCGTACAATGTGTTAGGACATGCTTATAGACTGAACAATCGGCTTCAAACGGGTATTCAATACTATCACACAGCCTTGGAAATTGCACAAGAACGTGGGGATAAACAACAGGAAACAGTTGCGTACATTGGGTTAGGACATGCATATGGATTGAACAAACAGTTTGAAATGGCTATTGAATACTATCAGAAAGCCTTAGAAATTACACAAGAACGTGGAGATAAACAACAGGAAACAGTTGCGTACAATGGGTTAGGACATGCGTACAGATTGAGCAATCAGCTTCAAATGGCTATTCAATACTATCAGAAAGCCTTGGAAATTGCACAAGGACGTGGAGATAAACAACATGAAACAGTTGCGTACAATGGGTTAGGACATGCGTATGGATTGGACAAACAGTTTCAAACGGCTATTCAATTCTGTCAGAAAGCCTTGGAAATTGCACAAGAACATGGAGATAAACAACAGGAAACAGTTGGGTACATTGGTTTAGGACATGCATATGGATTGAACAGTCAGTTTGAAACGGCTATTCAGTACTATCAGAAAGCTTTGGAAATTGCACAAGAATGTGAAGATACAGAACAGAAAACAGTTGCGTACATTGGTTTAGGACATGCATATGGATTGAACAAACAGTTTCAAACGGCTATTCAGTACTATCAGAAAGCCTTGGAAATTGCACAAGAACGTGGAGATAAACAACAGAAAACAGTTGCGTACAATGTGTTAGGACATGCGTACAGATTGAACAAACAGTTTCAAATGGCTATTCAATACCATCAGAAAGCCTTGGAAATTGCACAAGAACGTGGAGATGTAGAACAGGAAACAGTTGCGTATATTGGTTTAGGACATGCATATGGATTGAACAATCGGTTTAAAACGGCCATTGATTACTACCAGAAAGCCTTGGAAATTGCAAAAGACCGTGGAGATACAGAACAGGAAACAGTTGCTTTCATTGGTTTAGGACAGGCATATGGATTGAACAATCAGTTTGAAACGGCTATTCAGTACTACCAGAAAGCCTTGGAAATCGCACAAGAACGTGGAGATACAGAGCAGGAAACAGTTGCGTACATTGGTTTCGGACATGCATATGGATTGAAAAATCAGTTTGAAACGGCTATTCAGTACTACCAGAAAGCCTTGGAAATTGTAAAAGAACGTGGAGATACAGAACAGGAAACAGATGTATACCATGATCTTGAAAACTTTGAAAAAGCCTTGAAAATTGCAAGAGAACTAGAGGATAAAACGCGAGAAATTCCAGTATACCTTGGTTTAGGAAAATCATATAGATTGAACAAACAGTTCGAAATGGCATTTGAGCTCTATGAGAAGGCCATGCAAATTGTAAAACAGAAAGGATTTAAAGAGGAAGAAGATGTTGCAGTGAGTGGAATTGAAGAAACAGTTAACGGTGAGCTTATTTTCCTTTATTCTGTTGCATGGAATTTTGGTTATTATCTTAGATGGATCGATCTGTTTCCAAGGCTCTTAGAGAACGGTGGTGCCGAAAAAGGGGCGAGGCAGAAGAGCCTCTGGTCAAATTGTTTACGAATCTCACTTCCATACTTGAATAGGTTAAGAATATGAACCTCGCATGTGATTGGTAAAATTTTGTCAAGCCTGTTTGGCAAATAAACATGTACAGCAGTGAAATAAGGACCGTTCATTATTTATGCCTCAGGTTGGCCCTAAATAGAAATTGAAGAATCCAATTTTTCTTGCCTACTCCACCATTTTGGGGCTTTTTTTTTTTTGTCCAACCCTTATACTTTGTCAAGATTTTAGAAATGGTTTTCAAAAAGTGTCGTTGCGTGAGTATTAAGATAATTTATACTCGTGCATTAAAATGTTGACTTTTCTAGTCGGTAAAGTATCATTGGGGTACCGTGGCAAATTTATTTAATATGCTGATTATAGCAAACATTTATCAAAACCTAAAGGCGGTTCAAAGAGTATTTGATACTTGGAATCATATAGCAGCAACTGATAACAACAGTTGGGTCGTAGGTACTCATGCTATTTAAACTTTTCAATAGAAGGATAGGTGTTATGTTAGTAAAATAAGTTTTATCGTTGAAAATTACAACGACTACTAAAATTTTGAAAGTTGTTTCTATAGACCACTATATTCTCCATAAAAGGTATTCTAAAGTATATTATATCAAACGTTTTTGTGTGTTTCATATCCTAGTGTTTGATGTACTTTCATGGTTCAGGATTACTGTCTTTTGTACATTCTACTTTCTACTATACTTTCAATATACCATAATTTTATACCCAGCCATTAAGTGGTGAAAATATGAGTTACCACCTCATTTCTTTTGGTGCCACGTCGAGGCATAAATAATGAGCGGTAAATGTTAGCCTGCTAAATGTACATTACTCTACATTTGGCATGTAATAATTAGTTATTGTACATACTTTTTTTAAACCGGTTTGACATATTTTCATCACATGCGAAGTTCAGATTCTGAACTTAATTAACCAAATATGGAATTGAGATTCACAATCCATCTGATTAGAAGCTCTTTTGCCACGTGTTTATGTTGTCACGTGTATCTTTCGCCTCGCCGTTCTTTAGGGGCCTTTGGAAACAGGGTATGGATGGATTTACTCAAAACCTGAATGTTCATTAGGAGGTTTTAGCAGGTTTTGATTAGCCTATGAACTATGTAGAACCATGCATATTTTCAATCAGTCAAAATGTTATAGATATTCGCTTTAGAGAAAGCATACATTTTTCATAAACTATGAGAACATATATCGCTAACGTTAGGCTATAATGCGGATAACATTTCTAAAATGTTGCTGTTGTTTTCTCCTGACGGTTTGTTTACTTTTCAGATTATTCTTTTTCTGTCCCTCTCTCCCAGCGAATAAAATATCAATATATTCGAATTTATTTATTTAATACTATTTGTAAAATTTCAAAAAATTTCAAATTCTTTGCAATTCTTTGATAGCTTACTGTAGCTATCCATATAGTTTTGTTTTTATGTGCAAAAAATTGCTTAGGCACTCAAGAGCAAATCATGACATATGTAAATTCTTTGTTTTTGCTCATTTGCCTATGTACTATTTGCCAAGTGTATTTTTATAAACACGCCTCGTTTAACGAAGGACCAAAGAGTTTCAATATGTTTAGAATATGCAAGGGTAAATAATGCTCGTGAGGTTATACCGGCAGCATTGGGCAGGTCTCTGACAACGAACGTGTACTTTCTGACTATAGTGCGTCTAAGCACAGGTTATTGCTGTATTAAATATTTGATAGGCCGTTTTTGGCTAATTCTCGACACTTTCAAA